GACTCGGCTTTCACAGTTGTTTACAAACAAAGGGAAAAAGAATATAATAGAGCGTGGGATGGTGTCTATAGAATAAAGATAATCCAGCCGCAGCTACTGTAATCTTTTTTACAAAACAACCATCAAGTCAAAACTGCAAGAAAATTAGTTTTTTTTTAAACTATAATATGTTTTTTATGGTCGTCTGTGGGCCCCTAAATGGCGTCCCCCCCCCCCCCCCCCGCATTGCGGGGTCTGGCGGCACTATAGTTCCGCCCCTGGACGTCATAAATGGATGACCCCATGCTATATGTAAAATCGGTATGTAGCGAAAACGCGACAGTCTGCTTTAAGGGGTTAAGCCTGCAACAAAATAAATGGACCAAAAATATAGATCTATCGGCAAGGAAAGGGAAACTACTCTTAAAACTCTTTTTAAAAATATGGCTGCTGTTTATATTTAATTTTGATCTACAATTAGATTACTGATAATAGATTTTTTTTTTAATATTTAGGCCTATAGAATCAAAATCTAGAATCTAGATCTAGATATTCCCTAGTTGGACTGGGACTAGCAGATTCTATTAATACAATAAAATTACAATTAATAGAGTATGCGGTAATCTATCGCAGGTACGTAAAATCGCTCGCGACTAGATCTAGATCTAGATCTAGATCTAGTATGAAAAACAGGTGGGTAGGCCTAAAAAAAACGCCATTTTAATTTTTAGCGTATTTTCCCACGTTTTCTTTAACTTGCTTTCGCGTCTGTTTGTCTTTCCATCAAATCTTGCGATCGAAATTTCGGGCACTTCCCAGTTAGTAGGCCTATTGGGAAATTTTTCCTAATTATCATAGAATGATAAAATGGACCCAGATTAATCCTATAATATACCCCATTGATAAAAATATCAAATTTATCATTCTAGGCCTAATAGTTTTTTTTATATGAATTTTCAAAGTTATGTGTTTAACTTGTTATGTTTCATTGTAACCTGCATTCCAGACGTGTGATTGGCTTTAAACTTGCATACCAATGTTGCTATTAAAGATATAATGATAAAACTTTGCACATTTGTACTCAATGATATAGGCAATAGAAGTCTACAAATAAAATAAAAATTAGAAAAGAGGTAACTAAAAATAATGAAGTTAAATTAAGGGGTGTGGCACTGTTCTATAGTGACTGCCATAAGAGGATTTCCAGACTGCACAGCTAAGTTGCTATTCCATATACCATCATGAAACTTTATATATTAGGACTAGAGCATGTAAAAAATACAATCATGCAAGTAAAATAAACATAGCTAGAGGAAAACTATAAATAGTGAACTTGAATATGGTACAGCGCAATTAGACTATGATGATTAACTACAGGCTAATATGTTGCACTTCTTTGTTGCTACTATAAAAATAAAGATTAAACTTTACATATTGGTTCTGGTGTTAGTAATAAGAATGCTAGTATACATATTGTACAGGTAATGTATAGAGTTAGAACTTACAAGTCAAATACAGCACAATATGATCAAGATACTTAACGATTTGCCATAAACATTGGATTTGTGTCTGTGTATAACATGGTAAAAATGTTATTATTAATTTAGAAAATTTTGGTTCTTGTAATGTTTCTGATGAAAAGTGTTGAGGTGTGCTAAAACTCAAAGATTGACATTTCACAGTATTCTTATTTATAAAATGTTTAGTGAAGTTGACGTATCCTTTGATAAATTCTTAAATGACATTAATTAAAGTGTTCATGTTTTCTTTCTATTATAGTTGCCTATAACTAAAACTGTAATGCAGTGCAGCTTATAAAATTGGGCATTATTATTTTTTAATTTAGGCCCTTTATAGTACTTTATACATCTAGATACTATAGATAGGCCTGTCAGTATTTACATTAAGGCCTAATAGTTTATATTTATATATATATATATATATATATATATATATATATATATATATATATATATATATATATATATATATATATATATATATATAGGCCTATAGCCTATATATATATATATTATTACACATCTCTAGACCCATTATTGTTTTAGTGTTTTCATTTCCATCTAGATCTAGATCTAATTCTATTTTTTTAAAACTGTTTACAATAAATATAATTTTTCTACTTTAAAATGCCTTTATAATCTATTTATCTGCAATTCGTTAATGCTAGTTTGCTAGATCTAGATTTCTAGTTAACCTGGTATTAAGAAGGTTAATAAAAATCTGGCTAATTTAAAATTTTATAATTTATTTAGGCAGCAATTAGTAATTAGGCCTAATTACATTCTTTCCATTTATAATCTAATAATTTAGATCTACAGTAGATTCTATATTTATTTTAAAGCCCATTTTATTGTAACAGTCCATTTAAAAACAAACAGCTATTAAAAAACATCGTATGCGCATATCTATTAATATCTCGTAACCCGGCCGCCATTTTGAAATTACGCATGCTTTCTCGTTCCTACCCCTACGAGTTTTATCGCGCTACTCCTCACTGGCCCGTGCTTAAAAACCCTTCAAATCGACATTTCTATTTATCCAAATGGTTGGCATGCTATTTAAGCCTATTTTCATGCAACTTAAAGGATTATTTATATGTGAAATTTAGTTGTCAATGCGCCAGTTCGGTAGCGTCGGCATTTCGACAAATATTTGCTATTATCGGTGATCGCTTTCGGTATCGGACAATGTAAAACGGGAGCTAATTCATTTATTAGTATGTATAAAAGATGAAATTCAACTCAAATATTCACATCGAATACATTTTATTCTTCGATTCCGATGGCGAGAATTAACATGTTAAAAAATGGCGAATTTCAACAAGTACGATGAAAAAGTCAGGATGTGGTCGTACCGAATCGAAACAGCGGAAGTCGAAATGCCTACCCAGTTAGCTAGCGCACTGAAATTTTCAGGGAAGCTTTGTTTCCAATGACAATATTTATTATTATTTATACACAATATTCGGTAATCTATCGTTTTGGGTACGTAAAATCGCCCGCGACTAGTAATGTGAAAAACAGGTGACTCCTTAAATTTTAATAATTAGATATATTTCACATTTTGAGGAGGATTTATGTTTTGAAAAATACAAAAATGTTTCATTTATTATGTACCTGTTTTTAAACAATTGAATTAGCCTAAAACTTTTCAGTAATAAATGAAGACATATTGATATATTTAGCCATTGATTTAGGTTTTATATTCATTTATCTATAATATTTGACACAAATATATCACAATCTACTTCACACTACTTCTATCAAAGCCTTGACAATGAGGTAACTTTTTCGTACATTTATAGCCGCAGGCGATTTTACGTACCCAAAACAATAGATTACCGAATATTCAATTATTATTATTACTAAATTGATCCATGGAAAAATTTTATTGATCATTTTAGACTCCTATTGATTTGTACAAAAAAGGGACATAACCTAGTATTTGTAATTTGATAAAAACAAGGTTCGGTACTTTCCCTCTTCTGGCTTACTGATAAACAAATGAAACATGAAGGAGCGAGCACGCGATTGGCTGAGTAGTGGTCACGCGGTGTTTGTGTACAAACCTATGCAAATCTGACTGATCCGGAAGTAGAATGTTGATGGTCGAATGGTTTGCACGCGAGGGCAAAATGGTGAAAGAAACTGCAACACAGAAGAAACGTCGATTGGAAAAGGCACGCCAGAAGTATCAGGAGAAGCGCAACGCAGGATACAGATTGGAAAATCCTCCTAAACGACCAAAAATTATGGAAGAAGGTGAGTATCAAAAGAAGCTTGAAAAAGGTCGAAACTGGAAATCTACTGCTGTAGCGATGGAGATAGAAGAACAAAGTGTCTCTCGTAAAGCAAAAGAGTGCGTCATGCTACTACGCATTGACTTTGGGCCAGATGGAATCCAACGGATTGAGCCGAGATGCGTAGAATTTGATGGAAAACTGAATTATGGAAAAGTCGAGCGAAGACAACTGCCCATAATTCTATGCTGGGCATGCACAGTGCATAAAATGCAAGGCTGCACAGTTGATCACGCAGTTGTCTATTTAGGACCAGCGCTTTTTGAAACAGGCCAGGCGTATATTGCGCTCAGTCTAGTACGATCACTCGAAGGCGTAGGCATTGTGGAATTGGATTGCAGCAAGCTAACAGGAAAAAAACCCTGCAATGAGGAATGTCTACAGGAGATGGAAAGAATGCGTCGACACGAACCTCCAGCTGATCCTGAATAATAAGCGTGTCATGCCTGGTATAAGTCCCTTTTATCTTTGTGTTCGTCCTTTGTGAGTGTTTGTCTTCGTTTACCCAAAAAAAAAAGTGATTGCGAGAAGATAAAATCGATAGCAAGATTTGAATGCAAACAAACAGACAAAGACTAAAAAGTAGAAAATAATTATCATTAAATTTTTTTTTAAAAACCCACGTTTTCTGATTGAACTAAAAAGTAGAAAATAAATGCTATAGGCCCTACATCACAATAATGCAAGCGATCACTCTACTATAAGCGATCGTGGGGCGCCGTGATTTTCTTACAGTTTTTAATACTGTTGACTCTCTACAAGCTCCCTAATAAAACTCAATAGTATTATCTAATCAATAGTAATATAACTTTTACATCTTATATTAACAATGACCGATAAAAAACTTTTACTTCTGCGGCCCACGTTTTTCATTTTTTGTCATAATGCGCACGCAGTTTGCCATCGCTTATAGTAGAGTGATCGCTTGCATTATTGTGATGTATAGCATTTATTTTTACTTTTTAGTTCAATCAGAAAACGTGGGTTTTTAAAAAAAAATTTAATGATAATTATTAGTATTTTAATAATTTTATTCTCCGCTTCTTGTTTACCTTCAGTTTAGCGTATTTTATTATAATAACCGAAACACACCATTAGGAAAACACGATTTATTTATTTGTAGGCCTATTGTATTTTTGTTTTAACAAATGAATAAAAAAAACAAAGACTTTGTTTTAGATTTTGATATTTAGCCTACTTTTAATACTAGATCTAGATCTAATACTTTTGTCAAAACTTGAGAAAAATCCAAATTTAGAATATTGATTTGCTATGTTCGTGTGTCAGATCTAGAATTTTCATGGCAATGGGTGAAGTACGTAAACTTGACTCACTATGTGACAATTGCAAGGCGGTTAAGTTTGTATTGTTACAAGTATCTCCCAGGCATGATACTATAAATAAACATTTATGAACTTACAATGACCCCAAAACTGAGGCCAACACAATTTCAAACAGCTATTGCCAGAGCTATGACGTATGCTGATAATTTTTTAATTAAAGTCAAAGTGAACTCACGGTGAACCCTCGACAGTGTAAGGATTTTTCTACCACTGACAATCACATGATATTTAATTGGAACAGTTCTAATGCTTTTTTATGGGTTTTTTTGCCTTTTCTAATTAAAAGTCACATTCATAAAAAAAAATAAGTAGATCTAGTGTTTTCCTAATGTTTTTGTGTGTTTCGGTTGTGTTTATAATAAAATACACTCAACTGGAGGTGATTCACCTGGTGAACGTAAAGCGGGGAATAAAATACGCTAAAATGGAGTTTTACCAAACAGGTGACTACTTAAATTTTAATAATTAGGCCCCTATGCCCTATATATATATAGAATCTAATAATACTATATATATAATATAATTATTTCACATTTAGTTAGGCCTATAGATCTAGGAGGATTTTAGTTTTGGAAGTTACAAAAATATTATGTTTCAAAGTTTCATTACCCTACTAAATGAAATGTCAAATGAATTTATTATTTTAAAATTTAATGTACCTTTGTAATGTACACTGCTGTTTAAAGTTAATTCATGGCCTGTAATGGCTGTGTTGATATATTAAAATATATTTAGCCATCGATTTTGGTTTATTATTCAGTTATCTCTAATATTTGACAAAAAATAAAAAAATCACAATATGCTTCTAGATCTAGATCTAGACCCTATATACTTCTATTAATAAAGCCTTAACAATGAGGCAACTTTTTCGCACTTTACTAGTCTCAACTGATTTTATAATTTTTAGCACCTAAAACAATATAGATCTACTAAAATATAGGTATAAAATAGAATTATTTGAAGGGCATCATTTATGGATAAACTCAAACTAGTAGCTCAATTAACTGTAATGTAATGAAATTAGCCTAACTAGTCATGTAGACAATGAAGTATAAATAAATAATTAAAACTAAAATATTTTTTTTCAGAGTTGGTTTGTGCTAGCAGAAGCAGTACACTAATGGAATAATGTAATGAAATAAAAATGACTATCAGTATCAGTTTGCTATACTTTTTAACATTGGCTTTGATTTTGAGAAGTTTCTCTTGCTCAGCTCGTAATCAAAATTCAGATAAACAACGAAATATAAAAACTTATTACCCATTTCAAAATATAAGTTTGCCTTGGAATGTTCGAGTAGACGATCTCGTTTCTAGACTAACTATTGATGAAATTCAGCTGCAGTTGAGTAGAGGTGGGGCTGGAGAATACGGTGGCCCTGCACCATCAATACCAAGATTAGGTCAGTTTAAAAACATATTATTACCAAAACAGAATGATTTTTAAATTAAGCCTTTTCACATTAAATAACAACATATTAACTGGCCTTAGGTAAAACCCCAGGGCTTATTTGAATGAAAGCATAGCTCCTTTTATAGATTTTTTCCTTTCAAGAAAATAAGCTAGACGAAATTTCAAATATAATTACTGGGTGTAGCGAAATTGTGAGGTAGTAAATCATGAGAAGACTGTGAAAACCGCCGGTCACATGACATTTTGTCTTGCATCTGACCCCACCCGATATTGATGCTGTGTGGGCGTAAAATGCGAAGATGTCTTCGAAAATTATACCACACTCGATTTACAATAAACTAGGATGCAGACTTTATGTTTTGCTTGTATTGTTTTAACTTACGATGTTTCCATCGTTAGACGAGCTGAAGCAGTGGCGTAGCCAGGATCTTCTCACGGAGGGGTTCAATTTTTTATGTATATATATATATATATATATATATATAACGCTATAGAGAAAACGTAAGCAGAGTAAAAACATGAATAGTAATTCGAAAAACGAAACATGACGTCACATGGAGCATATAGTAGAAAATAGTCTAGAGCCGGAGAGTGCACATTGATTCTCGAGTAAACATTGAATTAAAAAGCCAATTTTGTCTAATCTTAAAAGTGATTTGCGTGCAAAGTTTCATCCATGCAATTGTTCGGGGAGGGGCTCCCCCCCGGGGAGGGGCTCCCCCCCCCCCAAATTAAGAACGTCTAAGCCCCTCCTCTCTAAAGAAATGACGTCATCGATAGTTCTATGATAAAAAGACTGACATTAAATCCTAATACATGTGTCTAATCTTAAAGTGGTTTGCGTGCAAGGTTTCTTTCATGCAATTCTTCTGGTTGGGGCAAAGCCCCACCTCCGTTTTGCATGTAGAGTTTCTTTCATGCAATTCTTTGAGTAGTGGCTAGGCGCGACACCAGTGTTTCTTTCAGACATTTTCCTCTCTTGTGGGGGGAACTTTAAATTTTCTCATCTGAAAAGTGTTTCGCGTGCAGTTTATTTCATGCAGCTCTTCCGGTAGGGGCGAAGCGCCTCCAGGCTCTACCTTTAGTTTGTATGATCAACAAATGCGACCAGTGTTTCTTTCAGACATTTTCCTCCCCAGAGAAGGGTGGGGGTACTTGAAATTTTCGGGGGCGAGGGTAGAATTTTCTGGAAGGGGCGAACACTGGAAAATGTATTTAATTATATTTCGTTGAATGGGAAGGTAGACATGCTTTGGTGTGTGTGGAGGGGGGGGGGGGGGGCGCGGGGCATAGCCCCCTCCTCCCAAGTAGAGTCGCCTGAAATAAATTCTAAATGCGACTTTTGTCATGATTGAGATTAGGTGCATGGTTTAGGGGAATGACTACGACTATATTTAGTATAAATGCGCGATAACTACGTGTAGATCAAGCTTAAGTCCAATTAAAGTGTTGATTCAGTTTTCAGTCAATTTTTGTTTCCGGTTCAATTTGAGGTAAAGGTGATTTCTTTTTTTTGTTTTTTTTTTTGGTTTAAAGAAAAGAGACAACACTATCAACCTAACACCCGTTGTATACTTCCTCAATGGGCCATTTATCTCGTATATATATATTAGTAGACTGTCTTACTAAATTTTAAATTAATTTAGTAATTTAGTAATATAACCTATTTCATCGCAAAGTATATCATGAGACAAAATAAATCACACAAAAATTTGCTCAAACTCATTTCGGGCGAGGTATAATTTATTATAACCGAGCTTTAAAAATGTTTATAACTCATTTATACCTTTTTTAAAAATAAATACCTTTATTTTCAACTAGGCATACTGCCTAGCTTCACTCAGGTTTTTCATAAATATATTTGAAAATTTAAATGATTAATTAATTGGTGATTGGCTGTTATGTGGAAGGCTTAATGTTAAATCTAAACAAATTTCAATTTTGAGAATCATCAAATAATTTTTGCAAGGATATAACGCATAAGGTAATTAGAATTACAGAAGCTTCCTTTTATAATTTATCTCAAAGATGATATTACATAAATTTAAGTTAATTTTTACAGGTTTATTAGGGTAAAATATGACAGTAAAAATTTTTTTACAGTGGGGTCCATGTGCTAATGATTTATCTACTTGTTTCTTTTGTGTGGAACATCGCCTTTGAACATCGCCATGCTTGAAGCCACTGCCGCCGCAAACATACGTTGTATTGTTGCAAAGAAATTTAGGATTATTACCGCCGCCTATGATTTATTTTTTCATCAGTTTTGTTGATTTTTTAAAATGTATATAATACTTAATAAAAAAATATAATTACACTTTTTAAATTGTTTATCAATACTTCTACGCTGTTTGAAAGTACAACAATATAGTATTATTGGCCCTTCATTTATTACAGTGTGACTGAATATCTCTCCCCGTCGGCAAGATTATAATGAACTCACAATGACCCCAAACAAGTTTGAAATATTGCTATTATTCAGGCTATGACCTACGCCTATTTTATACTATTTATATGCACTGACTGAGACCCCTCAAATGTGCTGTACTGTAGGGGGCGACAATGTTTAAAATTTTAACTATAGATCTAGATATAGATTTTTAAAATGGAGTCTAAAATAATATTCTCTTTATGAAATCACAGTGACACGTCGACCGAGTCATGATTTTTCTCCATCTGACAAGAAAACATTTTCTCCATCTGACAAGAAAACGTGAGCGGGCAATTATAGAAGCAACGATGTTAATTTTTTTGAATATTTAAAAAAAGTAAAGTAGATCAAGAAAATAAAAAATATAGGGGCCTACAAAACTCGTGATATATGCCTCTCTAGATGTTGGCCTACTTGTTTAGTATATAACTTTTTTTCTCATACATCTGGTGAAAAAACTAAACTCCAAAAGCATGACACAAAAATGTCTTGCAAATAGTGTCTCGCTATTTACCTTTGATTCCACAAGGATGTCTTTTTGTCTTGAATTTCATAGACTTTTTGCCACCTCTTTCGGATCTCGATATTTACCAACACCCATAATAACTTATTTTGTTTGTATTATATATTAGTTAGCCTTTTTCAATTCATAAAGTGGTTGTATTATTGGGTCCCTACTACTAAACATCTTACGAAATATGTGTACAAATAAAAAGAAAGCTGGAGATTTCAAAACATGAAAAATAGCAATTATAGATTTTATTAGTGAAACTTAGTTCTACTATTCAAATATTTTATAGGGATTGGTGCTTATAATTGGGATACTGAGTGCCTTCGAGGAGATGTAGAAACGTATGGAAATGCAACTGCATTTCCTCAAGCTATAGGACTTGCTGCTGCATTCAGGTGCATTTATTGAAACTCTCTAATTGTTACACTATGCCTTTCAAAATTTTTCTATCAGCTATGAAACAATCTGGATTAAACTTATTAAAGGAAATGTGTCCAAAAAGATCTCTATGCTTCTAAATTTTATTGAGAAATTTTACATTAAATTGTGAATGAAATAAAATGAAAGAATGTCTTGTCCTAAAATTCTGTTCACCTCTGTACAAAAAAAAAATAATTTTTAATAATACTTTGAATTTAAAGTTTTACATTACTTATACCATTTTATAGTTCTGAATTGCTGATGGATATTGCCTCTGCAACAGGAAAAGAAGTACGAGCGAAGCATAATGACTATGTTAGAAAAGGCATTTTTGCAAGTCATACTGGTGCAAGCTGTTTCAGTCCGGTCATCAACATTGTAAGAGATGGGCGATGGGGAAGATGTCAGGTAAACATTAAATAAAACGTGATGTAACATTTCCATTTTAATTTTCTTTAAGCACCAAATAATTTTAATTAGGTAGCTCCATGCATTGATAATACTAAATCGTATACATATTAAACAATTTATTCAATGTTATTGACTTTTTTTATTTTAGGAAACCTATGGTGAAGACCCATTTATGAGTGGGAAATTAGCTGAAAGTTTTGTTGTTGGTTTACAAGGTATGTACATTTTATAACTGTATTAGGTAAATTGATTTATGATGTGGAATAAATTATGCACGGCATTGATAATAAAAACATATTGCCACACAACCTACGCAAAAGGGTTAAAATTTTGAACTATCAAATTGTTTGCACTACTAGCAGCTTGTTACTTGCTTAAATTGTTTTGTTTTATAACATAGAGGTAAATCACTGGTCTGTGCACACTTCACTTTTCAATACTGATAATTTAAAAAAAAAGTTTTGAACGCGTCAGTTGTTTCAAGGGCTATAGTTTCTGTTTACAAATAAAGCGGGAGTGATCTCCCCTAAACTTTCTCGAACTTATACTAGCGTGCCCGTTGCCGCGTTGTTAAACACAAAAGTCCCACGATAGTCCGGGGCGAATCAGACGTGCCTGATTCAGTTTAGTGAAAGACTATAATACTACTTCTTATCCATATTCCATCACAATCTTTAAATTTAACGTATGCGCCACAGCACTACCAGGATAGCCCGAGCGCCAAATTGCAACCTGTCTGGCGCTGATGAAGGCGTCTTATTCTGTTTAGTGAACGACAAACCGCCTCATCTTATTCATAGTCTATCGCACTGTTTAAAACTAACGTAGGCACCATAGCGCTCACTGGATAGCCTGGGGCGCTAAGTTGCACCCTGCTGGGGCGCCGCTTGTGCGAAATTGATTTTTTTTCGAGAAACCTCCTCAAGAGTATTCTCAACAACTTCCCAAAGTTTTATGGCGATCAGATGAAAGGTGTAGCAATGCATAAAAGACAAAATCTGACGAAATATATTAGGAGGGTTTCATCAATGCTTTATCCATGATAAAATACACAGTAGCGGTGAAGGTGGTTTGGCCAAGTAGTTTATTTATATTAAACGAGCCGACCCGCGGCATATCATACGCCGCTATTTAGTTGTTGTTTTTTCTACTTTTCAGTTATTCATAATTTGTGAATTCGACACTACCAACGCTGCCACTGAAAATATTTCTTTAAAACACTATAAGTAGCTCGTTAAGGACGATAACCCCCCCTCTCCGTTAAAGTAAACTCCACTTAGTTCCCCCCCCACATTTAAAATCGTTTTAATTTGAATTATCTACCCCTAATAGTCGTCACTAAACCTGGCTCTGTTTGTAAACATTTAGAGTGAACCACAGCTCACCAGACCATGTGGGGGTGGTAGGGAGCGCGTTTACAGCTTGTTTTCTAGCGTCTCCCAGAAGAGAATTATATATATATAGATAATATAACATCCCTAATCACCACAACACCCAGACTCTACTACTCCAAGTTAAAAATAAAAGTGTTAGCTAAATTACTATTATATCACTAGTAATTCTTTGTTTGAATATTTCCAGCCTTAGTAAAAACCAGGTCATTTTAAAGTATTTCTCAAATGTTATAAAATATTCAATGTTGGTTGAAAAACATGCTTTTTGGCAACAACTATTTGGAACCAGTTAGTTTGTGAAACATAATTTTTAAAAGGGAAGGTTGTAGTTTTCTAAAAAGATAAATAAAACAATTAATCAAATAGCCAATAAATACTGCCATAATTTAGGAACTTACAGAGTTTCTTCCAGGCAATTCTTCTAGCACCCCCAAATGAAATGGATTATAAATATATATATATATATATATACACACACATACTTTTACCAGTTCCGGTACCCTCCCCCCTCCCCCTCCCGGAAAATTTAGTCCGCTTCACCGAAGTGCTCCCATGAGAAAAAAGTCTGGAAGAAACACTGGGAACTTACAGGGTAGAAAATATATACTGGTATGTGATAATCTATGCATTGGCTCCTGCAGGCAATGATCCACGATACATACAAGCCTCTGCTGGATGTAAACATTTTGATGTTCATGCTGGTCCAGAAAATATTCCTGTTCCAAGAGAATCTTTCAATGCAGTTGTAAGGACTTACAAAACATTTTACGTGTGCTGTAACTACTGTAAGCTAAATGATTTGTAAAACACCAAGAGCCGTACCCTGGTATATACACACACACACACACACACACACACACACATATATATATATATATATATATATATATATATATATATATATATATATATATATATATATATATATATATATATACACTAGATGTATGTCATTGCTTCGTTACAGTGTAAAATATGCTGTTAGCTATTATTCAAAATGTTACATCTGTTATCGCCGTGGGTTTTTTCTGTACATTTATTCAGCTTCCACCCCCCCACCCCCCAATCTCAAATGTATTTGCATATTGTTTAACACAATCGAGCTAAACATATGTGCATCTGTCTTCCTTTGGAAGATATTCTAGATCAGCTGGCATGGAGGAGACTTGCCATCCCCCTTCCTGCTATATTTTACAGAGATAAGCAAAATGGTCTTCTACAATACACAACACACACACTTTACGTAAACAATTACCCTACGCCTCCAGACCTAAGGTAATAGACCTCCTGTATAAAAGATGGATGGCTGAATTGAGCCTGACTACTCAAACAAGGACTATACTTGTGAATAAAGATCAATATGTGAATGGTTGACGGTCCATATCAAGCATGTATGAAGTAAATAGCAGACGTATAGATGTTAAAGTGAACTTTAAGACAGTAAGCTCATCGTTCATGCATAGTGCTTAGCTAGGCGAACAAGAAGTATACTAGCGATGAGTCATTAATAAATATGATGTTTAAGCTTTATAACACGACAGTTTTAAAATAGTATTATTAGTTAGTTAGGTCGATTTGCTGTTTATTTGATCTATCAAGTTCTCTGGATTTCCAACTTTTTAAACATTGATTCTAAAAAAAATTCTGAATTATTTTCAGGCTTAATTTTTTTTTTTTAACGGCCGCTTTGATAGCAAAATATTTTTATTAAAAAAATAAAACCCACAATTTTTTACCCACCCCACTCTACTTTCCCCCTCGATGCCTTAAGTTATATTACCCCTTTTATGGTAAAGAAAGCTTAGCCATATTTTATATCTTATGAATATATTTTAGGTTTCTGATCATGACTGGCGTATGACATTTCTACCTGCTTTTCGCAAGTGTGTAAAAGCTGGCTCATTCAGCATTATGTGTAGCTATAACAGGTAAAGGAATGTAATATTATGGTTTTAGATTTAAATTATTAGCTATTATGTCTTATTAAGATATTTTTTTTATCTTTTTAAAAGCATAAACGGAGTACCCGCTTGCGCCAATAAAAAACTGCTGACTGAGATTTTACGACATGAATGGAACTTTACAGGTTATGTTGTGAGTGATGAACAGGCAATTGAAAACATCATTACAAGACATCATTATTTAAATAACAGTATCGATACAGCTGCAGCTTGTATCAATGCTGGGTGTAATCTTGAATTATCACCAAATCTTGTTGAACCTATCTACATGTCTATTGGTAAGCTGCCTTGATGTTCAATTTTTTTTCTTCATTTATTAACAAAAATACCATACAAAACAATATACTTTTTTTTCTACTTACAGTGGAGGCTGTAAATCAAGGGAAAATCTCAGAAAATCTAGTGAGGGAAAGAGTAAAACCTCTGTTTTACACAAGAATGAGATTAGGAGAATTTGATCCATCAGATAAAAATCAATATGCACAGCTCGATACAAGTGTTGTCGAAAGCCCTGAGCATAAAGATTTAGCTGTTAATGCAGCAATGAAAACTTTTGTCTTACTCAAGAATCTAAAGAGTTTTTTGCCTTTGAAAATGGGATCCCATCAAAAAGTTTCTGTAAGTGTACTTTTTCAAAAAGATTTTAACTAATTTTTAAACAACAAAAATTGATTAGTTAAAGTTAACTAGCATGCCCATTCCGCGCATTACTGCGTTCTCAAAAGAAAATCTGCAGAAATATTTAAAGAGGGTTTCAATAATGTGTTACCAATCCTATTTTCTTAGACGCGTGACCTTGTTTACCAAAAGGAGTTATTTAAATGTTAGCAATGCAGGCGCTATATTTCTTGGATCATATTTGTTGGGGCAAGGGTTTACCCACACTACCGCTCAGAAAGCCTTGAGTGGACGTTAATCACTCTCCAAAATAGTGAGGTAGAACACACTCCGACGACTGCCCTGGTGTCAGGGACGTAGTGGGACATTATCAGGAGCCGACATTACTCTACCGAAGGGTCACCGCGTACGGCCCCTGGCTCAGTTTCATCATCGCGTTTCGTGTGTCCTAGAGTCAGGAATTGTATTGTGCTCTTTATAACTAACGTAGGCGCCATAGTGCTCATAGGATATCCCGGAGGACGCACCTGATTTGATTTAGGGAGTGACCATAGCAACACATTGTATTCATAGCCTATTGCACTCTTTAAACGAACGTACGTGCCATATTACTCAAGGGTCAGTCCGGTTCGCCAAATCGCCCTTTGCCGGGGCGCCGGAGGACGCTCCTAATTTGATATAGTCAACAATCATTGATTTTATATATATTTTATATATATATATATATATATATATATATATATATATATATATATATATATATATATATATATATATATATATATATATATATATATATATTTATATATATATATATATATATATACATACATACATACATATATATATATATATATATATATATATATATATATATATACATATATACATATATATATATATATACACATATATATATATATATATATATATATATATATATATATATATATATATATATATGTACAAATCAAAAGTTTGAGCGGGGGGAAATTTCAAATCAAAAGTAGTGCAAATCGAAAGTCGGAGGGGGTGGAGGTGGGGGTGCAAATCAAAAGTTTAAGGTGGTGGAAATTGAAATTTTGAGGGGAGGGGGTGCAAATCGTAAGTTTGAGGGAGGGTCGAAAGTTTGTCCCCGAGCGCTGGAAAGGGTCACTATGCCTCTGTTTTGTAGTCATTCACTATGTCAGACACGTCCGTCGGCGCTCGAAAAGGGCGCGATTTGGCGCTACGGGCTAGACTGTGAGCAATATGCCTTTATGATTGCATTTAAATAGTGTTTATGTTATGAGTGTTGTGTTTGTTTTTCGTTTGTGTTTTTTTTTGCGTTCGTTTGTGTTGTGTTTAGTTTTGTTCTGTTCCCAAGTTAGTACATTTACAAAAGATTTACCGTGGCGGAGCATGGGATGCAGCTATTTCTATATATCTACGCTATGACAGTGGTGTCCCACCGGGTTGGGCTACGTAGAGAATTATATATATACGAGAAAAATAGTCCGTTGAGGAAGGATACAACGGGCGCTAGGTTGATAGTTCTGTCTCTTTTCTCTAAACTAAAACCAAAATCACCACCTTTATTCAATTTAACCGGAAACGAAATATGACATTGAAAACGGATTTTTATCCAGAATCGGTACTTTAATCGGATTTATTCTTGATCTCCACGTAGTTACTGCACATTGATATTAATGTTACCATTATTGAATAAATAAGTAAATAAATTTTAAAAAATACCCCAACTAATCTCAATCATGAGAAAAGTCGCATTTAGAGTCTCTTTTAGGCGACTCTACTTACCCCCCCCCCCCCCCTCCCCACACACACACCTCAAAGCACATCTACCGTCCCATTCAACGAAATATAATTATATACTTTTTTCCAGTGTCCGCCCCCTCCCAGAAAATTCTACCACCGCCCCCCCCCCCCCTCCCCCCCCAAAATTCAAGTACCCCCCACCCCTCGCCGGGGAGGATAAAGTCTGAAAGAAACGCTGGTCCCATTTGTAGATGATACAAACTAAAGGAAGAATCTGGGCGGGGCTTCGCCCCTACCGGAAGAGATGCATGAAAAAAACTGCACGCTAAACACTTTTTAGATTAGAAAAATTTCCCTCCTCCGCGGAGGAAAAAGTCTGAAAGAAACACCCGAAGAATTGCATTAAAGAAACTGCAAGCAAACCACTTTTTCGACTAGACACATTAATTCATTAATTAGGCGGTAATTTTATTATAGAGTATCAATGAAGAAATTTCTTTTGAGTTGGGGGGGGGGGCGGCTTAGACGTTCTTTCGCGAGGGTGGGTCTTTCCTCCTACCCGAAGAATTGTATGAACCATTTAGATTAAACACAATTGGCTTTTTAATTCAATGTTTACTCGAGAATCAATGACGTCATATTATTGTGTGCACTCTCTGGATGTAGACTTTTATACTATATACTAAATGTGACGTCATATTTCATTATCGTTTTACTATGAAAGTTGTTATTTTGCTTGTGTTTTCTCTATAGCGTTCTTGTCAGATACATAGATAGATACACAGATAGATAGACAGCGAAACTGTTAGTAATAGGTAGATTACTAGACATGCATTTATGTACAACCCCACCGAAAGAAGCAAAGAGGAGATCAGGAATATTATGGCTGATGATATCGTTTAAAATAGAGGTGATGTTTAATGGGGGATTTAGCTTTAGAGGACCCCGAGTGAACTACTGTTGTTCACAGTGTCAAGACGAAATTCATGACGTCACCTTCTCTTGACTCACGCGCATCGTAAATGTATGCACTTCGTGAATTTGGCCTACTTACATCAATTATTATTAATATGTCAGTCATCTGTTTTAACTACAAACAATACTAATAACTTAATTATTCACTCTTCTGTATGTATTAACAGTATAAATCACATATGAGAATAATCAAGAAGTTATCTTCTGATTACACTTTATCGCGTTTTCGCAAAAAGAAGTAACATTGTTCTTGGGTGCGAGCCAATGGGATGCCTAGCCAAGATTTTATTACTTCAAGTATGATAATAAATAAACCGGGAGTGATCTCCCCTAAACTTTCTCGAATATTCTAATATAACACTATGGGGGATGGCAACTAGGGACATAGACAATATTTTAAATCCATTTTTTAATTACTTAAACTTTTTATAATAGAACTAGCGTACCCGCCCCCGCACGTTGCCGCGGGGATAGAAGAAAGTTTGACGAAATATATTACCAATCATATGTTCTTAGACGCGTGACCTTCTTTTCTAAAAAATGAGTCATTTAAATGTAAACAATGCCTGCGCTTGGATCATAAATATCAGGACACGGGTTTACCTACACTACCGCATGAAAACTTTGAGTGTACATTAATCACTCACCGAAATAATATGGTAGAACACACTTCGGTGACCGCCCATGTAATTAAAAATCATGTCCATATTCCAAGTTATATAAGAATATTCGAGAAAGTTTAGGGGAGATCACTCCCGGTTTATTTTACTCTGATATCTTAATGTTTTTACTTGGTATAAGTATAAGGCGATCAGCTGCCTGCCATATAGACCACCATATCTGAAAAAATTAATATTGGGCCTTCATAGTTGTTATTACTCTTTAAATGGATATTGAGACTGAATTTCACTTTTCATATGATATTAGAATGGCTCGTGAAAGTGTTTTCAGAAAACAGGCTTGTACTTAAACCAAAAGTCTAGCATTAGAAATTATAACACTTGGCTTTAACTTCCAGATAATCGGACCAATGGCTGATAATTATGATCAACTTTTTGGCGATTACACACCCCAACAAGACAAAAGTTTTACAAAAACTCCTCTTCAGGCATTAAAAGAGATATATCCAAGAATTCAGTACCAAAAAGCTTGTGAGGATGGAACTCCATGCAAAAGTTATAACCCAAGGGTGATTCCAGAAGTTGTTAATAATACTGATCTTCTTTTTGTTGCCTTGGGAACAGGTTTTGTTTTTTATTATTGTCCTAATACTTTGTTGAAAGCAAATGCTTAGATAAAATAATTACATTTTAACATCTGAACATTTTTTTTAATTTAAAAAAAATATTCTTTTTAATAGCTTAAAATGTGTTAATATACTAAATACTTAAGTGGATTTTAAAGTAAGGTTTCTCTTATTTTATTTAAGGAGTTGCAGTAGAAACAGAAAATATTGATAGGCCTAACTTAGAACTGCCTGGTAAACAAAAAGATTTAATGATTGATGTTTTAAAGTATGGTAAGTACCAGTACTCATTTGTCATTAAATATATATATATGTATATATATATATATATATATGTATATATATATATATATATGTATATATATATATATATATATATATATATATATATATATATATGTGACACTGCGTAGCTTCGCTTAGGTTTTTCAAAAAAAAAGACATTTGAGAATTCGAATAATTTATTAATTAGTGATTAGCTATAATGTAGAGTGTTGAAGTCTAAACAGCAATTTCAATTTTCAGAAACATGGGTTAAATATTCGCAAACTTATTACTTGCAAGGTTATTAGAACTAAGAGGCCTCCTGGATAGTATAACAGAGATTATATAAAGTTAACTTCTGAAGTTCATTTGTACTATTTTATTAGGTTGAATACATTAATGTTTAATGAAGTTCTTACTTAAACGAATGCTGAAGGGTCATTTTTTGTTGTTGCTTAAAATACTATAAAAAAGATTACTTAGGAAGCTACTTCCCTTCTACTTAGACCAAATGACATAATCTTTGTTTACTTTTTTTCACAAAAACTGCTATGCTTACATAAGAAAATACGCCATCTTGGCAAATCTAACAGCCCTAATGGTTTTTTTTTTGTGAACGGGAAAAAAGTCACAGGAAAAAAACAAACACAGAAAACAAGTCACAGTTTTTGCTAGGAAAAAAAAGTCACAGAAAAAAAGTCACAATGGAAAAATTTTATTGGAAAAAAAGTCACAAATAAAGTCACAGAAAAAAAGTCACAAAAATCTTTTTAGAAATATTTTGATTTATTTGTTAAGAATTGTAAAATTTTGTATGTATATTGTTGTGTGTTGTATTTTTTGATAGCATAAAATATTTTTAGACGTTATAAGGATTATGGTTTATAACAATTGAAAGTAAAAATACTCTAAGATAATTTACTCAACAATCTCAACTTTTGTTACGTATTTAGTTAAAGTTAAATACGCGGTAGAAAGGTTAATTATAAAAGAAATTTAGGCACATCGCGTATTGCATGTTTTGCCCTAGGCTATTCTCTGGTCGGCCTCACCTCAGATGGGCATTGCCCGAACATATTTTGTGTTGTTGAAGTTTTGCGTCATTGACAGCCTTTGAATCTTGTCGGCTTTTTGTTTTGATCCTAAGGTTTGTTATGTAATGAGCTTGGTAAATGTGGGCAGTAAAGGTGGTTGAACTAAACATAACTATTGTTGCGGTGAGGTGAGGGCAGCAAGTCAGATGAACTTACATTACACGGTAATTTAATGTTGGTATTTTAAAAAAAAAACACGATGAAAACCGTGGACTTTGGAGCATTCTATTAAATGCTATTAATCTTACGTTTAACATAATTACAATCTACATACTTCTTACTAAATATTTTTAGATGAATTATAAAAATTACTATGCGTATACAACCTACACACATTTCATTACATTTAGTTAATCCTAAGTTAATTTGCGCTCTCTAAATATTTAATACAAAAAGTATTAACAAATTTCACGCAAATATATATTTGTGACTTTTTTCCTGTGACTTTTTTTTTCTTTTTTTTTTCCTTTTACTTTTTTTCCTGTTACTTTTTTTTCTACAATCGTTTTTTCGACGGGCAGAATGCTTTTTGTTACCCTCTAGGTTCGGTCTAAGACCTCGCGGAGCGGCACAGGGAATCATAGAACAAAATTAATTCTCGATATGTAGCTTATAAATGAGAATTTCACTCGCGGTCATTTTTTTAAAACTCATTATCAAGAGCTTAGAGTCTGTCCGACAGTTTATCGAGGTGCATGCAAAAAATTAGCCAGATTCATTTACCCAGGTCTATGGGGGAAAATAGCCAGATGTAGGGAGCCAAAGTACCCTAAAATTGTTTTGCAAATACTCATCGATTTTTCACAAAAATTAACAATGTTAAATGTGGACTAGTCACTTCTAAACTGTCTAAAGCCCTTCCGAAATTTCCCGAAGATTACGCCTCTTTTTTGTAGCCCCGCGTATAATTCTACGACCTCAGAAGTTATGATTGAGTTTGTAAGTCCATATTTTTTACAAAAAACAAACAGTGCTATGTTTATATAAGGAAATATGACCTCTGGTCAGTTAAAACACAGTTCCGGGGTTTTCCCGATGGCAGCATAGTTTTTTTCTGACCCCCTGGGGCCGATGTTTGACCTCAGGAATTGACATAGGTTTCCTACGTAGGATTTTTTTTCAATATAAAGCTCAAATAAGGCGCTGGTCAGTCGAGGTCAGTTTTGACCTCCTCTTCGTGGATTTTGTGGCCCATCGGCATTGGCCCCCATGTTCTGTTGGTCTGAGGCGAGCGCCTGCCTAACTTGAAGCCCCTGCGGCGCCGGGGAGTGCCCTATCCGTTCACTTTGCTTTATATAGAGAGATTTCTATAGATCAATATATGTTGATCTATATCTTTCTATTTATGTTAAATGTCTGTATGTTAATTTCCTTAGAACTGAAAATTGACATCATGTTTTGTTCATTGGCCGGCCAATTCACAAACCGGCCAGGATAACCTTACCAATGTCCCATGTATTTGATAGGGTTTTAATTATTCTGGCTGCTTTTTACTTTCTCGTATATGCAAAGTATAGAGAAAGTATTGTAATCGTGCAAAAAAAAAATCGAGATTTTTACAAATCTCGACGTTTTACACCTCACTGATACGGAAAAACGTAATTTTGCAATCTTGTCCGTATGTCTGTGTGTGTGTCTGTGTGTAAACACGATTACTTGAGTACCGTTACAGCTAGGTTGATGAAATTTCATATATAAGTATTTTATCAAAATCGTAGATCCGTATCAACTTTTGAGCGATTTCCGAAAACCGGAAGTGGTACTTTTTCTACTTTGAATTTTTCAAAAGCCTATAACTTGAGTACTATTTCAGCAGATAGATAAATGAAATTTCACATGTAAGTAAAAGATCTTATTCTCTACCTTGTCAAATTTTGAGTAATTTCCTTTGACCGGAAGTACTAATTTACGCTATTTCCGATTTCTCAAAAAACGGATGTAAATTTATAAAGTACTAATAATATTCCGCATAATTATGCATATTTTATTAGGCGTTCACTTGGTGTGCAATTTTTTTTACGTGATTCTATTCTATTATAAAAAGTTTAAGTAATTAAAAATTGATTGAAAATATTGTCTATATCCTGAGTTGCCATCCCTCGTAGTTTTATATTAGAATATTCGAGGAAGTTTAGGGGAGATCACTCTCGGTTTATTTGTTTTGATTTATCGTTACGGCTATAATACTATTTGATTTTTAGTCATACCTTTCATTGGTTGAAGTTTGAAGATGAGAAGACAGTCTAGTCGACTGTCCTATTTACTTTTTATAGGCCCTATAAAATTTTTCCCTAAGAACTAATAATATTGCGCACTATTATGCGCTTTTTGCTTTGGCGTTCACTTGGTGCGCAATTCTTTTTTCTACTAGATTTTATTCTATTTTTAAAAGTTTAAGTAAACAAAAATCATGTCTATATTCCGAGTTGCCATCCCACGTAGTGTTATATTAGAATATTCGAGAAAGTTTAGGGGAAATCACTCCCGGGTTATTACTTTCTCGTATACGAAGTATAGAGAAAGTATTGGAATCGTGCAAAAATTCGAAATAGAGGTTTTCAAAAATCACAATGTTATACACCTCTATGGGACGGAAAACTTAGTTTAGCAAATTTTTTTCATATGTCTGTGTGTGCTTGTGTGTCTGTCTGTTTGTGAACACGATAACTTAAGTACCGTTTCAATGACGATGAAAAAATTTCATGTATAGGCATTATATCAAATTTGTAATTCTGTATCAACTTTTGAACTATAGAGTCCTTGCATATGACGTCACGTCCGTTCGTGTATGTAAACATCCGCCATCGCGGTGTACAGATCCACATTCAAAATGTTGATCTGTGATGTGAAAGGTTGTGATACTCGAAGTGGCAGATCTAAAGGGATTCCTTTATTTCGAATGCCAAGGGTTATATTAACACAAGATGATAGAGATCGACGGTTAACAGAACTTAGACGCCGTCAATTTTTAGCCAATGTTTATCGCAGTGGTGTGAGTGAAGCAGCAGCAAATAACATGCGAATCTGTTCTCGACACTTTGTTTCAGGTAATGACAGTAAAATAATAAACTTCGTTTTAATTATAAAAGATAACTGTTAATAAAACAAATATGCTCGACCTTCACAAATACTATCAGTAAAAGACAAAGTCAAAAGTAATAATAAGAATAATAAGATTTAATTGTAATAATAGTGATTTAATATTTAGATCTAGAATCTAGCTCTAAACAGGGTATCAACAAAATTCGGACCACAGATCTAGATTTAGGGTGACTGGCTCAGCTGGGTAGACATAAAATCTAGAATCTACTTATTTAATTTCAAAATTTAGATCTACATTCGATTCAAAATACACCAATAATAAATCAAAAGTAGGCATAATAATAAAGAATTTAATTGTCTCTAAGATCTAAAATCTAGCTATATAACCTAATCATTTTGTTAGCACACGAAATTATCTGAAATTGAAGTAGATTGTATGACTAGACTCAGATCTAGAATCTGCTACTTAAATTAAATTTTAGAAAGTTTATACAAGCATGTAGTTGATATTATTGTAGTAGAAGGCTTTAATAAATTACTTTGTGTCTTTTTACGGTAATATGTATCTGATACCAGTGGCGTAGCGAGGTCGGGTGTCACCCGGTGCGGCCCCCTCAAACTTTCGATTTGCACCCCCCCCCTCAAGTTTTTCTCTATATATTTTGCTATTTTTTGCCTTGGTGTCACCCCCCCCCCCCTAAATGGTGTCACCCGGTGCGGTCCGCAACCCCCCCCCCCCCCATTTCTAGTAATTATTATTCTACTAAGTTTATGTAGCCTAATAGTAGAATCTAGATCATACCAGCCAAAACAACAAATAACCACATTATTATTATTACGAGAAAAATGGCCCGTTGAGGAAGGATACAACGCGCGCTAGGTTGATAGTGCTGTCTATTTTCTCTAAAATAAAACCAAAACCAAAATCACCACCTTAATTCAATTTAACCGGAAACGAAAAATGACATTGAAAACGGATTTTTATCCAGAATCGTTACTTTAATTTATACAAAATATAGTCATAGGCATATCCCTAATCCATGCACCTAATCTCATTCATGACAAAAGTCGCATTTAGAGTTTCTTTCAGGCAACTCTACTTGGGAGGAGGGGGGCTTCCCCCCCCCCCCCCCCCCCCACACACACACTCCAAAACATGTTTACCGTCCCATTCAACAAAATATAATTATATTCTTTTTCAGTGTCCGCCCCCTCCCAGAAAATTCTACCCCCGCCCCCGAAAATTTCAAGTACCCCCACCCCTCTCCTGGGAGGAAAAAGTCTGAAAGAAACACTGGTCGCATTTGTAGATCATACAAACTAAAGGAAGAATCTGGGCGGGGCTTCGCCCCTACCCGAAGAGATGCTTGAAAAAAAAACTGCACGCTAAACACTTTTTAGATTAGAAAAAGTTCCCCCCTCCGGGGAGGAAAAAGTATAAAAGTACTGGTGTCGCGCTTAGCCACTACCCGAAGAATTGCATTAAAGAAATTGCAAGAAAACCACTTTTTAGATTAGGCGGTAATTTTATTATAGAGTATCGATGAAGAAATTTCTTTTGAGTTGTTGGGGGGGGGGGGGGGCTCAGACGTTCTTACGCGGGGGTGGGGCTTCGCCCCCTACCCGAAGAATTGTATAAAAGAAACTCTTCACGCAAACCACTTAGATTAGACAATATTGCCTTTTTATTCAATGTTTACTGGAGAATCAATGACGTCATATTACTGTGTACACTCTCCGGCTTGATATTATTATAGGCTTTTGAAAATTTGTTATAATACTTATTTATTAAACTTCATCAACCTAGCTGTAACGGTACTCAAGTTGTCGTGTTTACAGATACACATGCACACACACACACACAATTGCAAAACTATGTTTTTCCGACACTAAAATCTCGATATTTTTTTTTCACGATTACAACACTTTCTCTATACTCTGTATTCGAGAAAGTAAAAATGAGGCAGACACAATAATTCTTTATGTTCATTATTAACCTCCGAGCTGACCCGCATACGCCGCGATTCAGTTTAATTCCTATTTTTCAGCAATTCATAATTTGTGAATTCGACACTACCAATGCTGCGACTGAAAATATTTTGCTTTTAAACACTATCAGTAGCCAGTGAAGGACGATTATCCTCACCCTCATGAAAGCAGCCGTCCGTGACGACAGTTGATTGTGGACAATGAAAAGATCAAGCATAACTTATACTTACCTCCCCTTAGTTTCAAATTGTTTAAAAACTGATTTATCTGCCCCTAATAGCCGTCACTTCTATTGTTAACAACCGTGTGAACCACAGCTCACCTGACAGATGGGGGTGGTAGAGATATGCTTAGAAAGCGGGGTAGGAACGGCTAAGCTGCGTGGTGTTTTCTATGGTCTCCATGAAGAGAATTATAAATATACGAACCGACCCGCGGCATATCATACGCCGCTATTTAGTTTTTTTTTTTTTTTTTCTACTTTTCAGTAATTCATAATTTGTTAATTCGACAGTACCAATGCTGCCACTGAAAATATTTGCTTTAAAACAATATCTGTAGGTCTTTAAGAACGATACTCCCCCCCCCCCCCCCCCCCGTGAAAGCAGCCTCCTCTTAGTTACCTCCCCTAAGTTTAAAATAGTTTCAAACTAAATTATCTGCCCCTAATAGCCGTCACTAAACCCGGCTCTACGATTGTAAACATTTAACGTGAACCACAGCTCACCAGACCATGTGGGGGTGGTAGGGATATGCCTAGAGAGGGGGCTGCTAGGCGCGCTTACAGCGTGGTGTTTTCTAGGGTATCCAAAAAGAGAAATATATAGAGAGAAGATAGTGTACTGGTAGATCATAATATTTTTAAATTGTTTTTTTCTATTTAGATTCTAGAATCTATAAGATAAGCAATATTTTTGGTTTGTTTTCATCGTATTTTGAATGCTTTAGTAATGGGTAGATCAAATAGATTTATAAAATGGCTAATCAAAGATTGCAGCAATGGCTGCACCGGGATGCCCGGCTTATGTGAAGGCATTTTAACTATTCTATTGTTTCATTTAGGCAATGTATTCATCGGTCATGAATGGTCATAATAAAAAAAGGGTCAACACTTCGTCTTTTGAAATATTTAGGAAAGGTTATGTCCAAATTACCAATAATTGCTGCATTACTTAAAATTACAATTACTTTTTTTAAAAGACGGCAGTAATGGCTGCGCAATTTTTACTCCTGTTACAAATACTTGCTGGGGATGGTAGGGGGATTTATTTTATTGGCCTAAAGGAGATAATCGTGTTTCTATTTTTATTTTAAAAATTTTCAGGAGGCAAAAGTGGAATAGTCCTGCTTTTATTCAATGCCGGACCTTTGAATATAAGCTTCGCCGACGAATCTGAAGAAGTTAACGCTATAATGGAGTGCTTTTATCCTGCTCAAGCAACGGGAGAAGCACTAGTGAATGTTCTTTTCAATAAATTTGGAAAAGCATCTCCTGCTGGAAGACTACCAATTACTTGGCCAAAATATGATTGGCAGGTTCTGGTTGATTTATTTTTGTTTTGTTTATATCTTTCTCATAAACAATGTTTTTTTTTAATAAATTTTATACACATTGAAATAATTACTTCTTATTTAAATTTCTACTCTTTTCGCCAATAGTTACCTTCAATGATGAACTACTCAATGAAAGGTCGGACTTACAGATATTTGCTTACAGACCCATTATATCCTTTTGGGTTTGGGCTTTCATATTCACAGTTTTCCTACGATTATTTAGCAGCGTTTTCCTCTCCAAATCCTAAACAGAACTTATCAGTACAGCTTTTACTAAGCAACATAGGAAATGTGGATTCTGATGAGGTAGACTAAACGTAATGTTTTTATGAAGCAAGTGAAAAAATATAGATTCTAGATATATCTTTTTCAACAATAAAGCTGTTGACTATAATTTTGAATTAGGTTGTCCAATGTTACATAGCTTGGCAGAATAAGTCACTTCCTGTGCCACAGAGACAGCTTGCTTATTTTCAACGAGTTCATATAAAAGCTGGAGTACAAATAGGGTTAAATTTTTCTATCTCCTGGGAATCATGGACATTTTGGAGTGATAATCGATGGGTGATTCAAGCAGGTAAATTTTAAGCGTGAGTTTTAAGTAAGATTGACATAAACATACTTACTTGTCTTACTGGTTAAAAAACTATCTAATTCATTTAATATAATAATTTAAATAAAACATTAAACAAGTGTTCCATTAATTCAACCAAATATATCACTATACAAATTATGATTTCTCAAAATTTGTAAGCTGTAGATCATTCCAATGAAACACTAATATAGTAATTATTTCGTAACAGGAACTATGGATATATATTGTGGAGGTCAACAACCATTCCAGAGAAAATCAGCACCATCAAATGTACTAGCAGCTACATTTGAAATATACAATACAATTTACATAGATTTACTTTAATGACTAGTTGCCAATTATTGTGACTGGCTGTAATTAAAAAGGGGCAGATAACTTTGATTATTTTTGTTTTCTTTTTACGTAATAATTTTTATTTCACCTAAATAGTTTACCAATATATTGTAACAAATGATTTATTATTTCTTGTAATCCATTCAACAATATTTTCTGGAAAAAAAAACACTAAAAGTTACTTGTGTAATAAAACAGTAATAAACATTTATTAGCCATTGTTACAGTTTCCCTCGTTGATACAAAGATAAGAATTATTTTACACACAATACCGCAATATATATATATATATATTTATATATATATATATGCACACCTATAAGGGGCGGATTAATATATAGGGCCCTTCTATATATATATATTTATATACATATAGGCGCGTGTGTTAAAATTATATGTATATAGGCCGATATATATATATCAGCCAATTAAACATCATCTGTGTAAAGATTAATATTATCCCTAACAGTGTCAATGATAACGGACTCTCTATGATATTTTCGACTGAGAAACTCAATGATAGGGCTTTTTTAGTTCTAAAAAGAGACTGTATCACAACCAGTGTTTCTTCCAGACTTATTTCTCGGGGGGGGGGGGGGGCGGTAGACTGTTAAAAGTATATATTTTCTATATAAATTTCGAGTTGCCTTGAAGAAACTCTAATCACAACGGAAAAATTCTATTCTTTTAATTACCAAACCAAATTAGCGTAATTTTTCACTATTGATAAATATATTCAGACCTTCTATGTAAACAGTTATTGTCTTTGTTTATAATTTGTTAATCAATATATGATACAAATAATAAAATGTGCCTTTCTACTATATTATTTTAATACATTAGGGCATAATAAATAAATTACGTTTCGTTCTAAACAAATCGAGTATCTTGTTTGTTCAATTAAATTTTTTTAATACATCTGCTTGAAGAAAGGGGAGAGGTGGGATATATATGGAATATGAATATAATTCATGATTATAACATGTAGGGAAAAATTTTATAGGGCCTATAAAAAGTAAATAGGACAGTCGACTAGACTGTCTTCTCATCTTCAAACTTCAACCAATGAAAGGTATGACTAAAAATCAAATAGATTAATTATTATAGCCGTAACGATAAATCAAAACAAATAAACCGAGAGTGATCTCCCCTAAACTTTCTCGAATATTCTAATATAAAACTACGAGGGATGGCAACTCAGGATATAGACAATATTTGTAATCAATTTTTAATTACTTAAACTTTTTATAATAGAATAGAATCACGTAAAAAAAAAAACGCCTAATAAAATATGCATAATTATGCGAAATATTATTAGTACTTTATAAATTTACATCCGTTTTTTTGAGAAATCGGAAATAGCGTAAATTAGTACTTCCGGTCAAAGGAAATTACTCAAAATTTGACAAGGTAGAGAATAAGATCTTTTACTTACATGTGAAATTTCATTTATCTATCTTCTGAAATAGTACTCAAGTTATAGGCTTTTGAAAAATTCAAAGTAGAAAAAGTACCACTTCCGGTTATCGGAAATCGCTCAAAAGTTGATCAGTATCTACGATTTTTATAAAATACTTATATATGAAATTTAGCTGTAACGGTACTCAAGGTTATAGTGTTTACACACACATACAGAGACACACAGACATACGGACAATATTGCAAAATTATGTTTTTCCGTATCAGTGATTACAAGACTTTCTCTATAGGCCTACTTCGTATATACGAGAAAGTAAAAAAGTTAAATATTATATACTGTAGCCCTTTAGTTGTCTAAAACTAACTACATTGCTCATACTATGCTCATTACTACTCATCAGAAACGCTTTCGTTTAAAATAAAAAAAAATAAAATAAAGTTTTTAAGGGCGGCGCACGGGAGGGTGCGAACTTCGTCAATACACGGTTTGGCGCCCTGAGTTCTAGAGCTGCTACGTTAACACTTTTCAACCGTTAATCGGGCATCCTGCTTAGCGGGTAAGGGGTACTCCTAAATTCAGCTGTTAAAACTGCAACAGGCGCAGCGACCGGCCCCCCGAGGATTGCGTGGCCAGAAGCGCTACGGTCTCCCCTGTGAGTACTATGGCCCTACAATCATTTAAAAAAAAATGCTATAAGGACTTGATGGGCAACAATTATCGTTGAGTATATCGAATCAGGCGCGTGTTCTGGCGCCCCTGTAGGGTGCGATTTGGCGCCCTGGGCTTTCCCGTGAGCGCAATGACGCCTATGTTCGCTCTAAACAGCGTGATAGACAACGAATAAGATGGGGCATTATAGTCGCTCACTAAAATGAATCAGGCGCGTCCGCCGGCAAAACGACAGGGTGTGATTTGGCGTCCTGTGCGAGCACTATGGCGCCTACAATATTGACAAGGCGGCACACGACATTTGATGATTAAATCGAGCCAGGTGCCGTACGCGGCGTCCTTGCGGTAGTTTAACCTGGGGCTGCCGAGAGCGCTCCTCTATGTCCCTGACACCTGGGAGAACGATGAAATGTGCTCTACCACACTATTACGGAGAGTGTTAACGTACACTCAAGGCTTTCATTGATGAAACCCTCTTAAAACATGTCGTTAGACTTTATTCTATCCCCGTGACAACGCGCGGGGACGGGCACGCTAGTCTTATATATATATATATATATATATATATATATATATATATATATATATATATATATATATATATATATATATATATATATATATATATTTATTTATTTATTTTATATATATATATATACACACACATACACACTAGCGTGACACGCGCGTTGATGAGTTCACAGAAGAAAAACTGACGCAATATTATCAGATAATTTCATTGATGCATCACCAGTCGTATAGTTTTAGACACGTGACCTTGTTTTCCAAATATAAACAAAACAGGCCCTATTTGTATCATAGTCGTTGGGGCTCTGGTTTGTCCACACAACCTCCCAGATAGAACACGCCTCGGCGACCACCTAGGTGTTAGGGGCATCGTAGGGCGCTCTCAATAGACGCCGGCTACACTACTGCAGGGGCTCCGGTTAAGGATTCTGGTTCGGTTAATCATTGTATTTCGTGCGCAACTTTGTCCATATTGTAGGGCGCTCTTTAAAAGAAAACGTAGGCGCCATAGTGCTCACGGGGGAGTCCGGGATGCTGCAGGTCACCCGACCGTAGGGTGACGCACCTGATTCGATTTAGTGAAAGATCACAGTAGCCTATTGCACTATTTAATACGAACGTAGGTGCCATAGCGCTTATCTGGAGCCTGGGGAGTTTAATTGGACACTGCCGGGACGCCACCAATTCAAAAAAAGTTTTTTTCGCAGAAAACTTCGCAGGGTTCTCAATAACATCTCAGTTGAGTAACAATCGGAAGAAAGGTGTAGTTATGCTTAAAGAAACAAACCCACATAATCGTTCTTGGGGCGCGGGTTTATCCACACTACTGCCCATACCCCCCAAGGCGTACTGTATGAAAGCATTGACTGTACGTTAATCACCCTCTGTAAAAGTGAGATAAAACACACATCGGCGACCGCCCGGTGCTAGAGACACGTCCCTTGGCGCTCCAGGGAGCCACCGGTTACACTACCTCAGAGGCGCCCCTGATTCGGTTTAATTATCGAAAATCGTGTGCCACAGTGTCCGTATTATAGGATGCTCTTTAAAAAGAAAGTAGGCGTCATAGTGCTCAAGGTAGATTCCGGGGGCACGCGCTGTTGTCAACTGCCAGGGCGCCGGCGGGCACTCATTATTATATTTAGTGAACAATTATAGTAGCCCATCAAAACCGCAGTGTATCCCACTATTTGAAACGAACGTAGACGCCATAATGTTAACGGGGGAGCGGGGCACAAAATAGCCCTCTGTCTGAGCACATGTTAATGCGCATTATTCGATATAGTCAACGATTATTGTTGCCCATCGTGTCCTTAGTATATAGCATTTTTTTAAACGAACGTAGGCGTCATATTTCTATCGGTGAAGCCCTTGGCAACTCCGGGTCATTCAATCGCCAGAAAGCTGGCGAATGAATCTGGTGCAGTTTTACCACTGAATCTAGTAGTACCCCTGGAACTCTGGGCACCATATCGTATAATGAGAAAAATCGCACCTTCCCAAGGTGCCGCCCCTAAGAAATTTTCTTCTTAAAATACTTCTTAACAACTATCCAAAATTTCATGGTACTCGAATGAACAGTATCAATTCGCATCCGACTTTTTTTTTTTAAATAGAGAAAAATCGCATCGCTTCCTGCTAGAGGCTTAGCTAGGGGAGGGCGGGTTGGCGCCGCCCTAAAGAAGGCGCCAAACAAGGTAGAAATAAAAAAAAACCTCATTCTAACATTCGAATTTAAGTAAATAGATTAATACATGGCTTTACAGATTTATCTCCTGCATTGGTGTATGTATGTGTGTGTGTGGGGGGGGGGGGGGAGGGGTCGCTTTTTTGCCAATCTATAATAATAGTTTCGCTGTCTGTCTGTCTATGTATCTATCTATCTATCTATCTGTCTGTCTGTCTGTCTGTCTGTCTGTCTGTCTGTCTGTCTGTCTGTCTGTCTGTCTGTCTGTCTGTCTGTCTGTCTGTCTGTCTGTCTGTCTGTCTGTCTGTCTGTCTGTCTGTCTGTCTGTCTGTCTGTCTGTCTGTCTGTCTGTCTGTCTGTCTGTCTGTCTGTCTGTCTGTCTGTCTGTCTGTCTGTCTGTCTGTCTGTCTGTCTGTCTGTCTATCTATCTAATCTATCTGTCTATCTTACAAGAACGCTCTAGAGAAAACACAAACAAATTAAAAACTTTCATAGTAAAGCGGAAGCGAAATATGACGTCACATTTAGCGTATAGTAGAAAAAAGTCGACAGCCGGGAGAGTGCACAAAATAATATGACGTCATTGATTCTCGAGTAAACATTGAATTAAAAAGCCAATTTTGTCTAATCTAAGTGGTTTGCGTGAAGAGTTTCTTTCATACAATTCTTCGGGTACGGGCGAAGCCCCATCCTCGAGAAAGAAGGTCTAAGCCCCCCCCCCCCCCCCCAACTCAACTCAAAAGAAATGTCGTCATCTATACACTATAATAAAATTACAGACTAATTAATGTGTCTTATCTAAAAAGTGGTTTGCGTACAGAGTTTCTTTCATGCACTTCTTCGGGTAGTGGCTAAGCGCGACACCAGTGTTTCATTCAGACTTTTTCCTCTCCGGAGGGGGGAACTTTTTCTAATC